GGAAGAGGAGAATTGAGGAGGCCATGGACTGAATACGGACCGGAGAGCCATAGAAGGAGAAGAAGAATGTTGTGATGTGGTGAGACTTAAACTTGGCCCCTGTATTCATACCCCAGATGATACATACAGATGAGTTTTTCCAAAGCAGCAGTGAAATGATAATGACAGGGAAAAAATTAAAAACTTGCCTACTATAAATCCCACATGGACTGACCTGGGTGAAAAGCCAGACCTCATACCTACCCAACAATTTCTGTTCTATACAATTTTATTGAAAATAACACTTGACTGGCATCACTTTCAATCATAATATCACATCTTAATATTAACCTCCCCTCCATGTCTGGTTCTTCAAAGCGATCTCTTACCATCATACTTCTCAACCAAAATTTTGTAAATTTTTATCTTCCCACCTCCCATGTCAAACTATACCCCACCCCCAGCACCGTGTTTCCAAAATAACATCTCCCTCTATTCCTCCCACAATGTCTTCTCAAAATTTCAAACCTACAAAAAAACATGTAAATTTATAGTTTTATATTTTTAAACAGAGGATGAAAAATAAAATATTCTGAGCTGCATGTTAGCAAGAATCCCCAGATTTAATCTCAACTCCAGGACACCACAATCCTGTTCACCAAATCTAGGTACATGAAACAGATGACCATGGTGGCCATCAAGATCGAGCGACATCCGAACAACTTGAACAGAGATGAAGGCCTGAGCCTGAGCCAGTCATGGAAGCCCCTCTTCCACTCTCTCAAAGGATGTAGGAACAGTGCCAATCCTGACCAGGCCACTACGTCACTACAATGTCCTTTTCAGGATACCACCCGATTCCAGTCAGCCCTTGTCCCTCCTCATGTCCACCACCTCCGTTACATCTGGTGAATCATCTACCAGACCCCAAGGAGTCCTTAGAATGGCTGCTTTCTCCAACCTCTCTCTTTAATTCTTTCATGTCCTTCGCCCTCTACTAGTCAGGCTGCGGCACGTTGGTTCCCGGGCCCTTATCCGATCCTGATTCCACTCCCCACTGGTCAGGCCAAGGGTCTGCCTCGACTAGCAGTTTCCTATGACTCAAAGCGATAGCATGCGATGGAGGCAGCAAGGACCTCTGAAACTTTGGCAAACTTCTACCAGACTACACAGTTCTACAACCCATAAGAAAGCAACTTTTGGTGTCATCACTGTGAAAACTTCAAATCGTAAATGGTGACAAAATTTAAGATCATTCTGGAAATGAAATTCAACAGACAAATGTTGACCTTTACAGACCCTATTATATAGTTTGTTTGACCCTTTAAAAACCAGTAGGAACTGTATGAACCACCTGCTTAAACAATCTTCTTCTTCTATGGCTGTCCGGTCCCTATTCGGTCCATGGCCTCCTCAGTTCTCCTCTTCCATTCGGTCCTCCGTTAGATCTGTCTGTCCGAGGCTTTGATTGAGGTTTCGAAACATATTCCTTTTCACGATGCAAGGTTGTTAGCCTTGCGACTAACCCCCAACCTGGAGGACCAGGGTACCTCTCCCCTCGACCAATCTGGCTTGGGAGGCCCTACCAGTAGCTCTCGGGGTCACTGAGGTACTCAAGCCCCACCACCACGACAAGGTGCAGGCACCATTAAGTGGGTGCTTAAACAATCAGCAACTGTAAATTTTGTATTTACAGATCTTATAGCGATTATTTTCTTATAAAGAATTAACAAATTGATCTTTGTAAAGGTGAAGTAGATTCCTTGCAATATGGGCTGTATTTTAAATGACATTTACCCAAGCTTCATCATCAAAGCGTTAAAGACATTTCAATTAGTATGACTAACACAACTGAAAAAAAATTAATTCAATTAGAAAGATTCCTCCTGAATGAATCCCAGGCATTCTTTCAGTCTTTTTACAGCTGGTATACTATACCATTACCACCTCACTTTTTCCAGCGTCTGATGAATGCACATATGATGACAAGTATCCCAACAACAAACAAAATTATAATTTAGTTAATCAGATATAAGATTAAAGATTAACCCAAATCCCAATTTTGGGAAGCATACTACACATTAAACTTCAGAAAATATGCCAATAAAACAACCAAAGCACACAGACAGATAATCCATGCATTAAAAAAAAGTAAAAAAGCACTTACCGAAGGCTCATACAGCTTCTGGAGTTCATCGTACAGCCACATCTCTACTGCTAGCCTCTTTCGAATTAAGCTCATCTGATGGCTTCCATATTTCGCTGTCAGGAACTTCTCCCTTCTTTCTTTCACTTCTCCTTTCTCACTAAAGTTCACATGCAAACCAGATTTTGCTGGGCTTCGTTCACTTCGAACATCTGCCATTATTCCATTAGGTGCTCCTCCATTAGTGGATGAGTAGGTTGCAGATACACCGCACTCCATCGGATAGGGCTGCTTGTTCTGAAAGGAAGAGACACTTCTGAATGGTCTGAGGAACATTCATAAGATCAGTCATCTTTCTGGTTGGGTATCATCAGCACAAGAAACAAGTACTTATCTATCATTTTAACTACAATTAATGGGTAATTTATTTGGAATTGCTATGCATACAGGAAGGCTTCTGTAACTTACTTTCAACAAAGAAACAATGGCACAGACAGATAAGTACCAAGAATAACCAGAGTCTGGAAACACAATGACCTTGTAAACAGATATACTAGTATATTGGTTATCTCCTTTGGAGTCTTGTACCCTGGTAGGTCACAGACCTTTGGAATTATTTACAAAACTCACTGTGAAAATGAACATGGATAAACCAGGGTAGAGGGAAATAAGATGAAAATTAATTAAGTAAATGCCATTCCATAAAGACACATGAAGAAGCAGATATATACCACAGCTCCAGACATTCCGACCTTTAGCACTGGATGGAGATGAGTGGTTGGGAAGAACCTACTGAATCTAATAAAAAGCTAGGTGGCTAACTTTACACACAAGATACAACCTGCCAATCAAAATGTATGTAATCTTACTATATGAACTGATAAGCGTTATTATTCGCTATACTACTCAAAATGGATTTGATTAAAAAGTAAAAAAAGACGAAAAGTTTTAAGTAATATTCAATAATACTCATTTAAAACAGCTCTCAATAACCGACTGAGAACGAGTGTAAAATTATCACAACACAAATGATGCAAAAGTGGACATACAGTCTTGTTACACATCATTACGAACATAATCAATGAAAAGGTTCTAGTCATGTAAAGACTACTTCATGGTCCACAAAAATAAAACAATCCTTCGGTTTCCGGCGTAAAATTAATTTTATGTACACATTACTTGCAGGCAGACACGAAAACTTAGTAATACAAACACCTGACGCTTTTGTATTCCCCGTAATGTCCCAAAATGATATTAAGATACACCAAAATAGCATGTAGACACTTCTCTTTTTTTTTGTGAAATCGAAATATATCAGACAAAGCATGGGTTACTCACCGCTCTTGGAAGTAATTTAAAAAAGGTTAAATATGCTCCGAATTAAAAATCTATCACTGTTACTTAACTATCACTTGCACATCACTATCATTAAACAATTATGTCAATATATACGGACGCAAAGCGGCAAAACACACACTCGACCTGATCTCATATACCAACTGTATGCTTCTACTAATCGCCGCTATGACTGAAGGAGCTGCTACTCGTAGTAGTTCAGACATTTATTACCAGGTATCGCACGTAAACTGATAACTAACGCTCCATATTTAAACGTATAAATTTCAACTACAAACTTTCATCTGAAAAATTAAACTAAAGCTGACTTCATAGACCAATCGGCATTGAGCTGAGTTTAATCATTCATAAGACAGGTTTTCCCATTTGGAATCAATCATGGAATATTGCATACTCCACCCACGTTTAATTCCTCGGCAGTAATCAGGTATAACTTGCAGAATGTCGACGGACCACTGAAAGTGGGGAAATAAAAACTAAAATATTGCAGTGCATAACGACGAAAACAACAAAATACTTCCAATAATAACACACCAAAACCCGCCACAATGTATTTTATTGTGATTTCCATATAAGTGCTTGTCTGTAATTTAATTTTCACCTGTAGTCAAACACTTTAACAAACGCGTTACATTGAACTGACTTGTTGAAACAGGCCTGTTGTTTACATGTTTGACACTAATATTTTAACATTAATAAGGTAGTATATTTGCGTCATATTGTGAATTAGGTTAATATTTTAATATTTTCCGTCAAATCACAATTTTTAATAAGATAATAAAATATAAAATATTTAAAATATCATTTCACGTTCCGCATCGAATGATCGATTTACAAATTGGAACGTCTCTTACGGAACGTGAAATGATATTTTAAATATTTTATATTTTATTATCTTATTAAAATTGTGATTTGACGGAAAATATTAAAATTTTAACATTAATCTTTTGTTTAAATACATTAACCGGTAATTACTACTCTGTTCTCTTCAGTATTATTATGTACCGTATACAAAGATGTTTTGCCATGTTTGCGTGTTTATTATCTTGTTTCTACGCGTTAATTTCTTTGCTCTGACTCCGTAATTGTTTCCTGTAGCTGTTGAGTTGCACATTAAAATAAAAAAAAATGCCCTGAAGTGAATTATTAAAATTCCAGAGCAACATGATAGCTCAGGATCGTATCCGATGACGTGTTCTACCACCAAAGGTTAGACTACTTTATTATACTTTACAGACAAAGCTATCAACATAATTTCAAAATATATCATCCCGTTCCTATTTGTAAGACAAAAATTTCTAAACATTTAAAAGAGCAGTATTTATTGTGGTATCGCTCGAGCACGCAAAATAGCGCGTCTTCCCTTCGAATTGTCTTATATAGGCAACCGACCGAACATGGCCGTCTTTGGGGCAATGTATGAAATATTTCGTGGGCAGCGAAAACTTAAGAACCCAAGAAGTAAGAGTTTAACAAAAAAAAATATACAAAATTAGGACAGAAATATAAAAATAATACGAGTTAAATTAGAAGACTCGAGAACAAGTCTTCGTGTTAGGGAATCCTTCTGCAGGGAGCACATCTGCGGTGTAAAACGCCTGTTATTTCAACAGTAATCCACGCACTTGTTAAAATAATTATAGTGTGATGATATGCAAACAGTTCTACGCGAATCACCAATTATTATTAGTTCAACAAGAGCCAGCCAAAAAAATAATTCATCTGCTTTACGTATTCTTGTTACTAAAATTACGACTGTGGTGTGTCGCCTGGTGAAATATGTGACTCCGCACACCCCGGAACATTTTCTCACAAAGCCCTGAGGGACGCAGACTCCACCTCAACTTCCAATATAATAGCAGCGGAGTTTATGAGCATTCTGACGTCACGATAATAATAACGTAGTTATTCAGAAGGAGAAAATAGAAGTCCTATTTTGTCATTGGAATCTTGTCATATTTCCTTCAACATCTTGACGCCAGTAACAAAACTTAAGTGTCTTTAGCATTCTTATTCTTGCTTGTAGAAACCTTAAGAAGGGTTCACCCCGAGCCCAGCAACTGCGAATTACAAAGATCATAAAATGTGAAACTCTATACTGAAGTAGACTTTAATCATATCAATAAACAGCGATTTGTATTGTATTTTATTTGTAGTTTATTTAACAACGCTGTAGACAGCTCATATACTATACAGTGTTGAATGATGGGATGATTAATGAACAATTAATTGGAAAAGGAAATAGAAGGAAGCGGCCGTGGCCGAACTGAAGATCATAACCCGGCATTTGCATCGAGGGACTGAAGAAAATCAAGAGAAATCAGTTAAGATAATCCGATATCTAGGCAGAGACGTGTACCTAGGCCTACCTTACAAGAAGTTTTACAAGAGTGAAACTAATTGGTATAATTTTCAAATAATTAAGGAAATGTTAATTAAATATAAGTTACAATTAGACTATTACCCTTATAAATTGCATAATAAAGAGCTTCACGGCTTGTACTCCTCACCTGATATTGTTAGGGAGGTTAAATCGTGGCGGATGAGGTGGGTTGGGAGGTTTAGGCGTAGGTGAGAGGACAACGTTAAGATAGGAGTCGAAGGAGCGAACTGGATGCAGCTAGCTCAGGATAGATTCCGGTGGCGGGCTTTTGTGAAAAATCGCCCTGATGACGGAGGCAGTATGACCTCCGAAACGTTGGTTAACATCGACCAGACTACACAGCGCAACAACCCAGAAGACAGAAATCTTCATCGCCCTGATGA